ATCAAGAAGCGGGGAAAATCGTTGCCAGCAAAGTGCAAAACCAACAACTGCAGCTGCAGAAAAACAACTGCGAGTTTGGTTAAGCATACAAACTGTATATAACGCACACAGACCCGAACTCAGACCCAAACCCAAACCCAAACGAAACCCCTGGCAGCCAAGTGAAGTGAAGTATACGCCATGTTGACCCGACAACAAACATAAAATGTAATCGCAGCTAATAAGAAAACTAAGCAGATCCTGGCTGGTCACGATTTACGCTCGTTTCGCATTCGATTTGCGATGCGCCACCGCTGCACCGCTGCACCACTGTCCACACGGCGGCCACAGTGGGGCAAGATACGGGAGGACAACTTAGAGGAATTGGCTATAACTAAATTCTAAGAACCAAGGAAAGACTCTGATCCATACCACTTGGTTATTATTAATCAAAAAACACAGAAACAAAATATTTTAAAGCTATTGATAATATTGATGGTGGTATTAGGATAAAATAAAAACAATTCCTCTATTTTATAAAAAAATCCAAGGAAATCTGTGATTCATTCAATTTAATTATTAAAATCCAAAACTCATAATAAGTTATGTAATGGTAAGCTTGACAGTACTTGTGTGGTAGTCCTAAAGTGTTTTTAATACTGTAATATGTTCAATTAAATTATTCTAAAAGTCCAAAATTCATATAAGTAGTTAAATAAATTTTAGAAAAAATAATAAAATAAATAGTTAAATAAATCAAGCACATATTTTGATGGCACGTATGTTTTAATTCTCGTAAGAGCCTCTTTCGCCCCACTGTGCTGGTGGGGACCTGGACCTGGGCTGCCATGTCAATGGACATTTAATGGCGTTCCCCATTATGCGCCGCATCAAATGTGCCAAATACGCTTCGCTGGCAATAAATGCTGCATGGCGAGGTTTCCCTTTTGGATGCAGCCTTTCACCTTTCTCCTTTCTCCTGGCGAGGAACAAGACCGAGACTCCTCTCGGTCGCAGTTCTCCATCTTGGCCTCAGCTGGCCGGAGACCACGGCTTCGACTTCGTTCCGGCCACGATTTGCAATTTTGTGTGCATCAGCCTGGCATCGTCTATCGTAATTTTTCGTGAATTTCTTCACGTACTTGCATTCCATCTTCATCGCTCCTCGTCCTTCGGCCATATCCCATATCTTCTGCCCTGTCGCTCCTATATCTCCCCGTCCTGTCTGCTGGCCAGCTCTTGGTCCTGGTTTTGGCCCGGCTGCAGCACTGGATTGTAATGGCATAACCTTTGAATAAAATTAGCATTATCGGAGCTCACTTTGGCGGCCATTCCGCTCCGCCTGTCTTCAGGTGTCTGTGTGTTCGGGGATCAATAAAAATGCTCAATGACTTTTTGAACGCCATATGATGCCCGAAAAGGCCATTAAAATAAACGCTAAGACGGGGCAAAACGGAAGTCATTGAGATTATGTTTGTCTTAGGACAGCAATTTAAGGCATTAAATATTTAGATTCGTATCTATATAAAAAGAAAAGTTAAATATCTTGAAATTTAATCATATAAGTTGGCTGTTTTTTAATTCCTAGTTATCAGATATATTTCACTAAATTTTACATTAGTCTCTGAAAACACTTATTTCATAAACCAATTTTTTGAGAACCCATTGAACTTTTGTGCTTGCTTTCCGTACTCTAAAAAAATCAAATTGAAGACACCAGCAGTCAAATCAAAAAGCAATAGTGGAGCTTAAAAAGTTTAATTTATTTGAAACTATTTTCAGTTCTTTTTTCACTGACCCCCTGCAAACAACCTCCTTAGTGTAAATGTTTTTGTAGGCACACTCACATCAATTACGATTTCCACCCAACTCCTGGCCGTAAAACTAATTGGTGGAAAATTAAGTTTTTGCGCCAAAATGATGGCAAATTGAAATGCAATCGGGGCAAAGCGGATTATTGAAAAACTTTCATGATTGAATCCTGCTGGTTGGCCCGCCATGGAACATCCCCGTTCGCCATTGTACTGGTTGGGATCCAGTAGCTCCGGCAAAAAGCGCAGCGAGAACTTAATTCTGCTCTGCATGTGAACGGTTCGTTGAGGGCCATATGCGATTGGCAGAGCTTATGGCTCTGTGTGCCTGCCAAAAAACCAAGGGAAAAAATCGAAAACGAAAACGAGGGGAGCAACGAGGGAAAAGGGCCAAAAACTGGGGCCCACACGGCGTTACAGCGATTTATATTTTGCTACTTTCGCTATAAAAAATAAATATGCAATAAAACAAAACGACAACGGGCCCCGACATATGCATTATTGTCCTGCTCTCCGCTCCTATGGAAATATTTGCTAGAACGAAGACATAAACCTAAAAAATATATGGCGCATTTGGCAGAAACGAAGGCAGGCGCAAGACCAAAACCAAGACAAAGGCGTTTTTAAACGCCAGTAGCACTTACACTGGGAACAAAACATTATGAGATCGCTGTCAAATTGTTATGGCACCTTTTTGCATGTTTTAAATATTTTACAGAGTAAGCTTCTTTAGCATTGCATTTTTAAATATTATTGCAGCACTTTCAAAAAACTACCTTTTTATTGAATATAGATTTCTGTTCACCAGATAAGTTTCTCTGAAAAAACATAGTACTTACTTATTTACTTATCTTTAGTATATTTATTTATTCCAAATAGTACTAATTTTCAACAATAATTGCCTCGCTATTCTTTAACATACAAATTAAAAATATGAAACAAATTTAATGCCTCATAATAAAAAGGTGTAAGGTGTAAAATGTGTTAAAATGAGATTCACGCAACCATTTTTCTTTGTCAAATGACTGGGCTATGACACAACATACAAATCCAATTTAAATGCCCATTCTTACGTGTGCTTTTTTCCAGTGCATCGGCGAAAGACAGAGAACAACAGGGCGTACTCGCATCGTATTGTCCTACCAAATTGCGCTCTCAGCTGGCGCACGACTTGACTGCATCTACTTTGGCATTTGGCATGCACCAGAGGAGCAGAGAAGCAGAAAAGGGGGCACTTTATGAAGCGCGCATATGTTGCACCCCTTTTCTGCAGGGTGCCAAGGGACGCACGGGGCTAGGATAATAAAAATGAAGGACTCTGTGCCGTATTCCCCAGGCAAATCACTGCAGTCTCGGTCTGAGTCGATGGCTATAAAGCAAATCGTTTGACATTTGTTTTGATTTGCCATGATTGCTAAAAATATCTGTGAGACAGAAATGACATGGGGCAGAACAAGTGATATGTCGAGCAAGTGAAATAGTAGGTATTAAATTAGGAGGACTATAATACCTTATCCTTATTATAACTTATGTTTCTCGATGACATTTTCCATTGCAGTGCTAGAAAAATAAGCTGTAATTAGTTTTCCTCAAACTTTCCCATGTTATCTCATAAACCTCAACCACAGATGATACCATAATCTCCTTAGGCACAAGCGTAATCCTTTTAAAACCTGCCATTCAACCTCGTTCCCCTGAATTCCTTTAACTTGCCAAATTCAATAATAACCTTTTGGCACTCACTTACCCATTCCAATTGTGGCCCTAATACCATCGTCATATGCGAGTGAACTGACCCGACTGACCCTTTTAAGTGACTTCCACTTCCACGTTCTAGTCGCCGCCGAACGAAAGTTTCTTCTTATCATAATTTCGAAGACAATTAGCCCGCAATGTGTACTCCTTCGATACGAAGACCCACTCCAAAAAACCGTATCGATGGCAGCGAAACTTCGTCCGTGTCCCCAGGAGCTATGGTATACTTGAAGTTTACAGCCGCCAAAGGGCCAAAACAATGCCAGACAATAATTGGCCAAATTTATTGTAATTAGCCGCACACGCAAGCACCGGGCATTCCATTCCATCCAGCGTAAGTAACCCACCACATGTGTCCGGACCCCAATCTCCGAGTAATTATTAACATTTCGAGGGTTCGGGGATGGGATGCTCGTCCGGTCCTTGAGAGCAGGTTGTCACATGTGTGCGTGGCGCTTTGAGATCGCATTTAATTGCACAAAGCCTCTTTGCTCTTAGAGAGTTTTTAAATAATTTAGTTGTGTCGTTAGGCCGGGCGTGGCCACGCCCCTTTGTCAAAGGCATCTGGCAGGACAAGTCGGGCGTACGGGGCGGCTACGTAATGCAGTCGAGTCACGTCACACAGCATGTCGCTAATTTTTCTACCTTTTTTTCGCCGCTGCCCGGGCACAAAGTTTCCTCACTGCAATGCGCTGGTTAAAATGTTCCCTTTTCTTTGGAAGGGGTCTCTAAAAAGAGGTCGTGTTTCTGGAGGATGATAAATTGTGGATGAGAGTAGGGCGGGATTAACTCGAGGTGGCTGCGCATTAAAGGAGCTTAAATTCCTTTATTAATTTTAAAGGGGCATGGAAAAAATTTAAATATTTCGCAATTTGTCCAGTAACTATTTGTTCTAGATTAACTTTAAGTTAAGTTAAATTAGTTATTATAGACAATTTATTATTATAATCTATACAAGGTTATGTCATTAATATGCCTTTCTAATGTTATGAAATCTGTAGCATTGTAGGATATACCATTTTCGAATATTATTTTCCACTTTCGCTTGACCTCACTCTCCTTTAAAGTAACTTTTTAGCTTTGTTGGCTTAAAAATCCCTAAAATGGCTTTGTCAAAGGCGAGGTACAGTCACCACCTAGCGCGGTGAGCACGAGCATAACGGTACATCGCTAAGAAGTGCAGCATAGCGCACGGCGCACGTTTCCTTTTTGTAAACTTTATTATTTCGTGTTAAAAGTAAATAAACTTAGCTCCAACTTCACCTCACCTCTGACCCCGTCGCTCTTGCCATTTCCCTCTTTTCTACCCTGTAGATATGTGAAATGGGGAGTTTTTGGGTGGAGGGCACCTTCTGCACATTGTTTGCCATTTGCGGTGGTCGGCGACAAGCTCTGTCAGCCAGCCAGTCCAAATTGAAATTGGACATTAGATGTGCACACACACTAAGAACCCACTGCACTGAGCAAAATTAAAGCTTTTATTGGCGACAGTATAAATGTTCCATTTGAGGGATTCGTTAACGAATTTGTTTTTTGTTGATAACGCCAAAAGCCGAATTGCAGCACATCCAATCAGTTTCTTCTGAATCACCGAGTTCCCAAGTGAATCGGACCCATGTATATACCTAGAAACGAGTTGAGTTTAATTTCGCTGTCTTCTTCTGAGTGACGATATTCTACATACAGCGCTTGCCTTTTATACCTTGTCAAGATAAGGTCTCTGAGATGTTATGTATATTCCATTCACTTTAGCAGGATTTTCATGAGAATAAAGAAATATATCTATTCATCGCAAGACGATGCAGGACTGCACTATATAACCACCATAACTGTATTTGCAATCGGGAATATCCGCCGTTTTTTTCCGGGAGCAGAAGAAGAATACCCTTATATTATTCTACTAGTCCCGTAAAATCAAGGGCGGATATTCCCGATTGCGATTACATAGATAAAGTGGGTATAACGCCTCGACTGCTGTTAAAATCTGGAACCGACTTCGGAGAGAACAAATCTCGACTGACGTTCATGTGCGAGCTCTCCGATTTATAAAGACATTTTTCGGCTGCAACTATAGATATACTTTTGGGTTCTTCTCTCTCTCTTTTGTAGGGTCCATAGTTATTTTTATCAAGAAACTCGGAGACCGGTATATGATTAATTTGTAGCGTATGGACAATTTCTAAATTCTTATATATTCAAGAAGTAACCAAGCTATAAGTATTGCATATCCTATAAGCATATATGCATATAAGCATATAAATGAAAGTAAGTATGTTAGGTATGTTAATTATATCGCAGTATACTTTTAGACTGCCAATGGATAGCCAGGTATGTTTTACTACATTTAAGTGTGACGAGGTTATGATAACGCTTTTTTTGAGTGTACCCATATATATTAAGATGGTAGATTCTGTCGTCGCCGCGGCTGCTGACAACTTGGACAACAACCACATCTGGGACAACAACGCGAACAACAACTGAACACTAAGGCACACACTCATTGTGAATGACAACGCCCCTGGTACGTGATTTCATTTCCGTTGTTGCCTTTTGTGCACTGCTCGTAACTTGACTCCTCCTTTCTTTTTTATCACCCCCTGACTCCGTTTCACCCGCCACCCTTGTCTACTTTCTTCTGCTTTCTCTGCTATCTTTTTTTATTTGTGGCTTTTGTGGTTTGTTAAGGCAGCCACGGATCGCCCAAAATTAATATGATGGTGAGTAAAAGCTTAGTGTGACTATCTATTAGTCGGATATATTCTCTTTATTATGTTTCTGTAAATGGGCATGAAATAAACGAGAATATGGCTAGTTTAATGAACACTAAATGTGATAAAAAAGAACGAGGGCGGATTTAAAAGTAGCCCCTTTAGTGTGTGCTGGCACTTAGAAGTCTTCAAATCTAAGACGACCATTGACCTCAGTTGGCTAAAACTTCTTTAAAAAAATGTATTAGTTTGTCATATCCGCTCGGGACGGCTGTACACATTTCCACATCTGAACAAAACTGATATATTCACTTAGCACAAAAATAGAAGTGATTTTTGCGAATTCAACATTTCAGCAATTTCAGCGAATTCTGATGAAATATATAAAAAAAAGTTTTTGTTTTTAGAATGTTCTCCAATAATACCACTTGCTTATACTCTTCATGAGCCCAATACATATAGAAAACTGTGCGCATTACAAAAAGTGGTATCCCATTTCGGAATTGTTTATGACAACAGCGGGAACAAAAATTATCTCTTCCGTTTTTGAAAAAATTAAGAAAATTAAGGCAAGAGTACCAGAGTACCCAATACATAAGACATTTTTATTAATAGTATTCATTCAAAAGCTCATCTAAAACAGACCAAAACATAATTAGCTCACAACCGGATATTATCCACAGAATTGTGGGAGCAAATTAACTCAACATAGTTCAAATTTATTCAATCCCCAGACTTTACGTAAGATTAATGATGCTCCCATATATTTTTTCATATCGTCGAACCCATAAGATCACCCATTATTTAAGGAGATTTTCGCTTCCGACAATCAAAGGTTATTTGTGGGCAGAACTCGGTAAATCTTATTAACACAAAGACTATCACTCGCGTATCTGAAAACCGGCTTATATTAAGATATGTAAATTTAATTAATAATTCACAAAATCGACCTTTACATGGCTACTTAACAAGTCTATCTTAATTGCGCGAATCGGAACTGAAAAATCCCCGAAACTGTAGTTTACATACGCCAGAAAATAGTCTACGCAAGCGAAGTCAAGGGAATACTGTTTAAATATTAACTTATGTTTTGGTACCCAAACGAGTTATGATCGCTGTGGTTAGCAATCAAAAGTGTGGATGGACATCTGAGTGAATAAACAATGGTTTAATTGGGATTCGCCTTTAGCAACATCTGCCATAAAACCGGGCCAAGTAAAAACAATAACGGAAGCCTTTTGCCATGCAAATGCTAGACAAAATCCGAGTTGGCTATCTAGCATGTCTAACACGATCGGCATTTACATACATGAAATATAAACAAATGCAGAAAAAGATTTGGGCGCCTGGTAGTCCAAACTAAACTCTGCAAATTAGCAACGAGTTTTCAAATGTTTGACTTGATGCGGGCCATGAATAATGTGATTAACGAGTTTGCACTTGAAGTCCAAACATCTCCCCAAGAAATCCAGCAGCCAGTGACTTTAAGTCATAAAGCAAATTAAAGATGACATAAGGTACATAAATATATGAATTTTTGTGACCTGAAGAAATTAAGTTATTAACTAGTTGCAATTTAGCAGGGAGACAAGTTAAGTAAATAACGATCTGAGAAAAGAGGAGAAGAATAATGGAAGCAGGTATCAAGATGAAGAGGAAATAATTTAAGCCCCTGCGGAGTAATGAAGCATTCATAGTTTTTAAGGTCCAAACAATTAACCGAGGTGTGGATCATATAATTAAAGACTCTTTAAATGTTTTCCTGAGAAACATTCGTTGAAGCACTGTGCCATAAATAGACGGACCTTGAAATCAACTATAGTTGAATCCATAATTTTAGGCTCAGACGTCAGCTAGACCCATTTTTATGACCATAATCGTGGGCAACTGGTTTGGGGAAATTAATTGACCACCAAGGGAACGATAGATAACAAAATTATAGGCCTGAAAAAAGTCACTGTTTGTTTTTTGTATTAGCATAACGCTTACTAAAATTTTATAGTGGGCGCCTCATTCTTAACAAAAGATTCCATTAAAAACTGTTGAATAATTTCTGATTCCTTTAATCCAGAACAATGGCTTCTAACCTTTGTCGAACTAGTCGTAAAACCCAACCAGTTTCAACGTCTGCATTCGTTTCAAACGATGGTTGCAAATTTCCGGCTACACCTGACGCATTTGCCAAGAATACCGATAGTCCATAAATCCATCCAACCAATAAAACCCCAAGAGGAGCCCATAAAATATGCCGTTAGCGGTCTGTATAGGATTAATGTCACCTAAGAGTCACTTTGGGTGTTGCTCACTAACTCGCCTTATGACCATCCATCCATCTATCTTTCAGCATCTTAATCTTCATTCTCAAATCCAATTCCATCGAGTGCTACTTCGTTCTGACGACCCCCAAAACATAACCAGTAAAAGATTTCATCTGCGATATTCATCTGAATATTCAGATGAGCCGTTGCCGATGATCTTCGATCTTCGATTTGCGTTCGGCCTGAGGTTCAGTTCAAGTTTCGGCTTGCAGAATTTTGGGCTCGGTCTCGTATAAATAGTTTGCCGGTGAGCCTCCTCAGACAGAAGCTACTTGAACGCTCTTGGAGTAACAGATCGCAGCTGTCATCATGGTGAGCCCACCCACCCACTGCAGGATCAAGGATTATATCTCTAAAGGTTTCGGTTTGTTCGCTTTCAGAAATTCCTGGTTATTGCCTTTGCCGTCCTGGCCTGCGCCTATGGCGATGTCTCCCACCTGGGTTACGACTACTCTCCACCGGCTCCGGTCTACCAGCCTGCTCCTGCTCCCATCAGCATCCCAGCTCCAGCTCCGGTCTACCACTCAGCACCTGCTCCTGCTCCCATCAGCATCCCAGCTCCAGCTCCGGTCTACCACTCAGCACCTGCTCCTGCTCCTGCTCCCATCAGCATCCCAGCTCCAGCTCCGGTCTACCACCCAGCTCCTGCTCCGATCAGCATCCCAGCTCCAGTTGAGATCCCCGTCCCTGCCCCTGTGAGGAGCTACGTCCCACCTGCACCCATCAGCATCCCAGCTCCTGCTCCAGTCTACCACTCAGCTCCTGCTCCTGCTCCCATCAGCATCCCAGCTCCTGCTCCCATCAGCATCCCAGCTCCAGTTGAGATCCCCGCTCCGGTGAACTCCTACATTCCCCCTGCACCAGCACCAGCACCCGTTTACCACTCAGCTCCTGCCCCCGTGGAGATCTCTGCTCCTGCTCCAGTTTACTCTGCACCAGCTCCAGCTCCAGTTTACTCTGCACCAGCTCCAGCTCCAGTTTACTCTGCACCAGCTCCAGCTCCAGTTTACTCTGCTCCTGCTCCTGCTCCAGTTTACTCTGCTCCAGCTCCAGCTCCAGTTTACTCTGCTCCTGCTCCTGCTCCAGTTTACTCTGCTCCAGCTCCAGCTCCAGTTTACTCCGCTCCCAACACCCAGGTTCTGGAGGAGATCGAGCCCGCTTCCAACGATGGATACCGCTACAAGACCGTGCGTCGTCGCGTCTACCGTCGCCGCGTCTAAACTTACCAAAGCCCAACGAAAAACTGTTTCCTAACGAATCCCCAAACCCATGGGGAGACGTAATAAAAAATTTCCGCCTTCAATTTGTTAAACAAAAAGAAAAGTCTTCAAATTGTTTTCCAATCATAGCAAATCACACGGGAAACTGCGGGGAGGGTAGCTCTTAAGTTTGCTCTGGCCATTTGAGTGGGATATTTATGAAACCCGAGGAGAGGAAGTGGAATCAACTTGCCATCGGACAGATAGTGCCGGAAAGGGGTGAGTGGGTGCACGGAGCATAATAAGGAGTTGCCAGCAAGTTGCGGAACAATCCCCAAGGATTCGACTCGATGGCGAGCTCCAGTCCTCGCCACTCCACATTTATCACGAAATTTATCGCCTGGAATGAGCTTTGATGATGTGGAAATTTTTTCTCGTTAGATTCAAAAGTTTCCAGATGCACTCAGAGATCGCAGAATTTATTTCGGGCAACCAATGGGATTAATTGTGTTAGTTTCTATAGAAAATTAAACAAATTGAGTCGAAGTTTGGAATTTTTAAAATAATTATGATGCAATATGACCAACATTAACAAACCGTATATCGTAAATATCCATATTCGAGTGATGGATAGGCAACAAAAACGAAATATATTAAAAAATACCAAGTAAATACAGAGAGATCCACTCTTTCACACATCAATGTTCCATAAAAAACCTATTTAAAAAAGGGTTTAACCACCCTAGTGCCCTAGGGCCTTAAATGTCTGAACAATTTAAGCTGTACTTGGTATAAAAACGTATGCCCAGTTATCCCTCTACTCTACTTTATTTTAGTTTGAAGAACCAGTTGAAAAAACCAATAGTACTGCGAGTTCTTTCAAACTTACCCAAAGTTAATATAGTACTTGTAGGAATTTATGGGCGAAGTGGGTAATATTTTTGTCGGTGCAACCGCACGAAATCGATGAAGCCGGAGCCTCAGCTCAAAACAGAGACTCCTTCGCCGAGTGGATTGGCCTCATCAGACGACCACTGACCACTTGTGGCTGCTAACAAGTGGCAGGACGAAGTCGAAGGCGCCCAAGGAGCAAGGACATCGACAGTCGAAAGACGATAGACGTTGCAGAAAATTAACAAGAAAATGCAGCGACAAATGTCTACGGAGCTTCTCCCCTTAGCAATTTGATTAGGGCAATGTCTGGCTGTGGCAGAGACTTTGGGTCCCCAAACCCCGAGCTCGGAACCCAGAGTCCCCCAATATCCTAGTCTGGATTCCGGGGAAACCGCAGAGCCACATATTACACTTGCCACTGCGCATACTAATTAAAAAGCGCAAAAACAAACAGCGGAGCTACTAAAATTAATTGCGTAATTAAAACAAAATCATTTTTTCCACCCGCCTCCCCTTTTGGCCCAAACCACAATAGATTGATTGTCCTGGCTTATTTCGTTAATTGCATTCTGGTCAAATATTGGCAGCTCAATTAAATGAATTAAAACGCATTTTTGCTTTGTGCCGACCGGCACACGTGCATAGAGGATCTCCCTTATGGAGTGCAGAAATGGGGATTACTAAAATCATTTGACAGGCAATTACAATTTAGGGACGGTTCCGGCAAACCGCACTCCAATCAGCGGTGATTAGTTTGCGCGGTGTGCAAATTAAATATTCTTATATTCTGGGATGTTACTGGTCATTCCCCTTTATATTTTTAGGTTTTTAAAAGAAATACTTTAAAAATATCTGTATTTTACAGATTTGTACTATTCTTTTAATCATTCTTGTTGCTAAAAAAAGGAAAGGAAAGAATATAAACATTATTGACAGTAATTTTCAGACTTGTGAAAAGACATTTTTTTGAATAATCCCTTCTTAAATGTAAAACCTTACAAACAACAATACAATGCAGGTTATACGGACGGAATTGTACTTGACTCATTGAACGGATATCATTCCTTAATTCTCTGTAATTGATGGACGCACTTCGATCTCAGCACTAGATGCACTACACGATTATGTTCCACTCACATTGACATCGTCGCATTTCACTAATCCCCGCCAGCGATTAGTTTAAATTCCAATAGTGGCTGCAATCCGCCATGGATTGGGTAATTTTCAGCCTCATTGCCTCTGCTCCGCCAGGCAGAAGCTGCCGATTAAATAAAAAGGAGCCAGGTATGGCGGACACCCAACAATTGACAGTTGGTTGCACTTCCAACCGCACTTAATTAGCAGTTAATGATGCCTGATTAACACGCATTATGGCTGCGACGACCCATCGGCATCTCCGGCAGCGGGTTTCGGCCCAATGCCACCCGAATAACCCCTTCCCACAGCCTCATCCACTTCCATGGCCATTTCCAATCAAACCTGTCCGACAGATGGTCTGAAAATGTGTAATCAATGCTTTAGGCGCCGTGGATTACAAAATAATCAGGAGTTGGGCAGCCTAAAAGTATGCAGAAGAAAAGGCTCCCCGGAAAAAGTGAAAATGCTGTGAGCAAAAACCGATGTGTCATCGTCATAAAGCCGGTACTCGAATAGGGTACGACCTTTCTGCGGGTTTTCTTCGTACTCTAAAAGTATAAGAACAAAAAAAATTATTTCGTCGCTTTACAGATCCATTGAAAATAATATTTTTAATTAGCAAATATCTCATCTATGTATAAAAGATCCAAAAAATATTTTTGTATATTTTATAAGTAAAGAAACATAAATTATATTGCTTTCTATAACAATTTAGAAATTTATATTTGATGGGCATCCCTTTTTATTTCTTCCCAGTACCTACATTATACAATTTCTTAAAGAATTCATAACGTGTCAATTTTCAGAACATCCCGATTTCGCGTTATACCCTCTTCACACCACGGCTCACTCAATAAATCGGGTGTAAAAATTGATGGGTCTCCCGAATCCCAGTTGTTGGTCGGCTGGCTTACGGCCTTAAAGCCGGCAGTGCGAAATCGAACGTGCGGAGTGCACATGGATATGGGACATGGATCGTTGGGAAATTGACAGTATCAACGTAATTATATCAGCAGTGGGGGATGGGCGTTTCGGTCCCCAAAACGAAAACAAAACAGAAAAAGGACAGAATCCAGGAGGGCAGGGAAAGTGGAGGACGCGAGGGGCGGCCACTGAAATATGCAAACGTTGACTGCCTTCATTTATTTTTACTGTTACTGCATATTGGGGCGACGGATCGGACGGGTGGCGGGACGGGGGCTGGACTGGGCAGGAGGTCCTGGCAAGAGGCGCGAAAATAATCGTTATCCTGGACAGGTGGGCCCTCGATTCCTCTCGCGCGTTCGATGCCAGCAGTTGCACTTCATTTGCAGCATTAATTTGTCGCCCGTTGATTTATCTGGCCAGGCTATATATAGCCGAACACTCACATCCATAAGGATATATACCGACGCGGCGAATGAATTTATGAGCTGCTGCTGGAGCCCATCGAGCGTCGAAAAATGTTGAAAATCGATTGGCAAGAGTTTGTCATTTCCACTTGAAGCCCAGCAAGTCAACGCCGGGGGTAGCTGCATTCTTTTTGAATATTTATTAAGTCACTTTTTGCACCAGTAATGCAAAATAGTTATGCAAATGTTGTGTGCGAACGAATGCGAAAGGGATCTTCAAATCGAAGCGCGTGTTTCCATAGTCGTATAAATATAAGAAGATACATATATTTCAAACGGGACGCAGACGGCGGTCTCTGGGGTTCAACGAACCTCTGCTAATATTATAAATGAGTTACTAAATTATGGAGCCAACTGGAAGAAAGGCCACTAAAATTAAAACAACTTAAATTCGAAACAAAGTATGCAAGTCTTTTCAAAGGGCCTGAGATCCTTTATTCAAATTAAACTGGGGAACAATTTTCCCATGACAATACCATATTTTTTCCCCCATTTTTATGCACTTCAAGGGTAACGAACTATATATTTTGCCTTTGCCCTCTGATGACGCCACCATGCAGTGCATGTCAACTATTAACGGGCAAACAACTAAATTACGTATACGCAGCGTTGCATGACCAGCATGCCATTGCGATGCTCCAGTAGAGAGTGTTTGTGTATTTGCTCGAAATACATTTGCAGTTTCGGTTTATTGGCGCTGCGAAAATAATGGAATTGTCAAAATAAAAGGGGTTAAGTGCCTGTTTGCATAGCTTTTTGACAACACCAACAACTGGCACCACTCCCCTCGCCTCATATGTGCATGCTATTGGTATTTTATTTTTACCCGCTGAGGGAAACAAGTTCGGCGGAAATTAAATCACTCCGGCGTCGGGAAGTCTCCGCGGATTTTTGGCACCAACCGGAAAATTGTTCATTAGCAATTTGTGTAATTAAAAAGAGAGAGTGCACACAGGGACCAGAGAAGTGCTGTCCTTCACCACTTTGGGTGGCTTGCAATCGCCGCCCTTCTCCCACTTAAGAACCTCGAACTTCCTGCCCATCCGGCTAATTTGTTTTCCGCCCGACAGTGACACATGGCGACAGTCTAGATGGCGTCATGTTAAACTTTTGACCCGATCGAAGCTGGCTAATTCTGGCGCCCCCGGCCCATCTGCTCGAGTTTCCATATATAATTAGGCAATAGGCCCTGCTTTTGGCCCACCTTATCAGAGCCAATCAGCAGATTAATGGCCGACGGCTGAGCTCGCCATTCGTCTGGCGGCTCTAGACCAAACAGTCTGTGGGCCGTAGGCCTCTATTTCCATTTCTATTGCCAAAAGACCGAGCGTCGGTTTCCAGTTTTCGACCAGATTTAGTTTGGCTAGTTCAAATTGATACACTAAAGCACAAATGTTTATGCAAATGATATTTAAATGAAGACATTGGCAAAAACAAGCAAGTACGAGTAGAGAAGAGACGGTTCGGCCAGGGGCACTTTATTAATCCCCTGCAAGCTTAAGTTAATGTCGCTTAGATAATAATTGATGTCCAAAATAGAACACATTATATTGAGAACCTCCCTATCTACTGGTATTTTTAAATGGTGGATCTTTATCTTTTGGTATAACATGATCACTTTAGGCGCCTTACCAAATAAAAAGAGAAAAACGCGAATTCTTTAGAAGATGATGTTCAAAAACTCGAGTAATAGCATTTCCAAGCCCTCATAAATATTAGAAAAAGTTTTGTATCAATGATCCTTTATTTGAACCTAAGAAATCCTTCTAACACTTTTAATTATTTGAGAATTAAAACTTCAAATAAATAATGCTTACTTCCGATTTTTGTAAACAAAAAATTTTCTTAAAATTCGATCTGGCTGAATAAATATTAGCCAAACCGATAATGGGCAATTTGTGTGCACCTCTGGAAGACTAAACTAGGAATATCATAAAATATCATATCACTGCAACCGAAACAACTCTTCCTGGTCGGCGTAGGCCATCAGAGTTGACCATTGGCGTGGCTCGTAAAATTCTGGTTTCTGGCATATTAAGAGACCCCGATATCCGAACTTCTTCACTCGTGTTAATGTTTATCATTTGCTTCTGCACCGCGCCCAGGTTTTGGTATAAATACAACCCCACAGATCGCTCCAAGACATACTAGAGACGTCCACGTTCCAAGTAACACATATCCAAAATGGTTAGTACAGAATCAAGAGGGATTAACTTGAATCTTGAATAATTGGAAAATTGAATTGCAGAAATTCCTGGTTGTCGCCGTTGCCCTCCTGGCCGTTGCCCACGCCGATGTGTCCCACCTGTCGGGCTACAACTACGCTCCCGTGAGCATCCCCCTCCCGGCTCCTCTGCCCGTGAAGGTGGCCCCCGCTCCCGTTCCCGTGAACACCTACATCCCCCCAGCACCCGCAGCAGCCCCCGTCCATATTGAGGTTCCTGCCCCGGCACCCGTGCACGTTGAGATCCCTGCCCCAGCACCCGTTCCCGTGAAGGTCGCCCCCGCTGCCCCAGTGAACAGCTACATTCCCCCCGCACCCGTGCACGTTGAGATCCCAGCCCCCGCACCCGTCAAGGTTGCCCCTGTGGCCCCCGTGAACAGCTACATTCCCCCCGCACCCGTGAGCATTCCAGCTCCAGCTCCGGTCTACCACCCAGCTCCTGCTCCCATCAGCATCCCAGCTCCAGCTCCGGTCTACCACTCAGCACCTGCTCCTGCTCCCATCAGCATCCCAGCTCCCGCTCCAGTGCACTCCGCCCCTGTGCATTCCGCCCATGTGCACGCCGCCCCTGTGCACTCCGCCCCTGTGCACTCCGCCCCTGTGCACTCCGCTCCTGTGCACTCCGCTCCTGTCCAGTCCGTTCTGGAGGAGATCGAGCCCGTGTCCGCCGATGGCTACCGCTACAAGACCGTCCGCCGTGTGGTCCGTCGCCGCCTGTAGAGAGCTACTCCTTTGCTGATCCCTGCCAGGGAGAAGTTTATTCAATAAAACGAAAATAGAATTTAATAAAAATACTGAGTTTGAGTGGGCTGGTTAAGTGATACACTAGATCCCGGTAGAACGGAGGTCTACAGAGAGATTTCACTCATAATCCGAAATGGAGTCATATGTTATAAAAACTAATGGGGAACTTATGAGTATTTTACTAAATATGCAGGTTCTTTGAAATACTAAGGGTTTCCAAAGAAACCTAAAGTAACTACATGTTTCAACAGTTGTTTTCGTAGCTTAAAGGTTTACTACCTTGCCTTACTAACTTATTTTAATAGCTCCATTTTTAAACCTAATAGTCCTACAGACTTACACTTTAATACATCCTAAAATACAGTTAATATTTTGGATAAATAAATATTTTTAAATGGATAAGAACTTTTTTAAATCACAAAATTATTGAATTTTAAGACTAAGTCAAAAAGAAAAAAAATACTAAGTAACAATATCTTCACAAAAACTTCTTATAGCTACTACAGTTATTTTTGACCTCTGGCCTTTATTAGCATTAAGGATACCACTAAAGATTTATCTGCACCTAACAAATTTACTACATCATTCCTCTAAAACATGATAGCCGACTGCCAACCATATGTTGGCACGCTAAAATAAACTGTTTTATTAGCCAGGTGTTCGAATAAGGCAAGCCCAGTCCGGACCCGAGTAACTAATTAAGTTCCAACAAACAACAGACCCACCGGCAGACATTGTCAAGATCAGCATAATCTAAACAAATTGAAATTAATTTTGGCATAAACTTGAAACGACGCCATAGGCCCGGCCGCCTGCTAATAACTCGCCTAAAAGAGCCCAAAGCAGAAACGAGAAATCTTAAAACGAAATAAACAAAATAAAATAATTATAAAACTAAAAACGTAAACGTGTGACCCACGAACATTCATCAATCTGACAAAATAAAAGCAAAATAAAACCACCATTCAACATGCAACAATGGGTATATTTGCTCTAATTAAAGAAGCTTTTGCAGTGTTTGAGGACTGAAACAAAAAGTTGACCCTAGTCAAAGCAAAGATAATACGATTTTGGAACCGAAACTGAAGACTACAAATAAAAAACAAAAAAAAAACGAAACCAGAAAACCCGTCAAACTGCCTTGGCATTGGAGGCTCGTTGTCGTGTGTTAGGTTTTCGATTCGATGTTTTGACCATCTTCCGATTCCGACTTCTTTGCGTGAGGCTAAGACCCCCATGTATCATGGCGGCACCATGCAATTAATTTGACTGCGTTTGACCCGCAGCCCCGAAAAACAATGAGCTATAAAAACCGAAGACACACTTCGAGTTCAGCAGCACAAATCCACCAGTGATCCAAGCAGCAACAAGCCAGTCTCCCCAAGATGGTGAGTGCAAGGATTACCCATTAGCCTATCATTATAAAAACAATTTTTACCCATCCTAGAAATTCCTGATCGTTGCCGTCGCCTTCCTGGCCTGCGCCTATGCCGATGTCTCTGAGCTTTCAGCCGGCGGCTACGACTATCCCCAGCCCGCTCCACCGGCGCCCGTGAAGAGCTACATTCCCCCTCCGCCACCACCACCCCCACCGGCACCCAAGAACACCTACATCCCTCCCCCGGCCGCCCCCGCCAAGGCCTACATCCCACCCCCACCACCACCACCACCACCGGCGCCCAAGAACACCTACATCCCCCCTGTTCCCGTGGCCGCTCCCGTGGAGACCTACATTCCCCCCGCCGCCCCAGCCCCCGCCTACATCCCCCCCGCACCTCCGGCACCCGCCTACATCCCCCCCGCCCCCGTCCAGGCCGAGGAGCCCATCATCGAGGAGATCGAGCAGCCCGCCCAGGACGGATACCGCTACAAGACCGTCCGTCGTCGCGTCTTCCGGCACCGCAACTGAGTCTCTGGAACCCAATTGTTGAATAATTTTATAGGACCTGGCAGTGGTCACCCAGCCGGGCAATCTGTTAATGTTTTTAAAGTAAATAAACGATAAAATGAAATAATGATCTTACAATTGATTTAGAATGGCGGAGAAAAGATTCTTAGAGTCTCTTAGCTACAGTTAACTAACTAATTCACTTATAAAAAAATTTAAATTTAACTTCACATTTATTTTATCTGACAGATTTCTAACTAGATCCTTACCATGGCAATGTGTGTATTTAGTATTTCCAGTCTTTATTCAAATATTTTCATATGGAATCTTTCAATTTAAATGTTTTGTTTTTGAAATTTTGTATTCGGCATTAAGTTTAAATATGAAATACTGCATATTATATTCCATTTGCAGATATTTCTTTTCATTTTCCCCTTTCTTTCCAATTGCCTAAGTAGGCTTTGAAAATGTTTCTGGAAATATCAGCTCAACAAAATGACGCTTGGATAGGGTTCCCGAAATCTCTGGACCAGAAGAGGAAGGAGCCCCTCCAGAATGTGCCTGGTCAGGGAAAACCAGGAGAGGAGAAAAAGTCACTGTTGCGTAATCAGATGGTGTCCTTTCTTCATCATCGTGGCCATGCTGGTCTGGTCATATCACGTCCTGGTTTACCAAATCTGCATTCTAAGAGTTGAGGACTACGTGGTCATGGGCCTCTTGCTGTTTTTCTACCACCTACTACTCTTCATGTTTCTGTGGACGTGGTGGAGGTGCATTTGCGTCGATCCAGTTAAGATTCCCGATCAGTGGAAAATATCTGCAGAGGATGTGGAGAGACTGCAGCGCAATGAGGGAGTAGAGGGTACAGCTCGAATCCTCAATTATGCCGCGAGGAACTTACCCATTTCCACCTGCAGCCCCGAGGGACTGGTGAGATATTGCAAGACTTGCTGGATAATTAAGCCGGATAGAGCCCATCACTGCCGAACCTGCCACATGTGTGTCCTGAAAATGGACCACCACTGCCCCTGGGTGGTGAACTGCGTCCACTTTCACAATTTCAAATACTTCATACAGTTTCTCCTTTATGCTGAGCTGTATATGCTGTATCTCTTCTTCGTGATGATGTATGAATTCTACCTGATTTGCGGCTTCGATGTTAGTTACCTGAAAAATGAGCACACATGGAACCTCGTTCAGCATGTGGTGTGCATTACCTTTAACATTTTTACCCTGGTCATGTACTGCGTGAGTGTGTTCAATGTATCCCGAAATCGTACCACTATGGAATCGGCCCATCCTACCTTCTTTTTCGTTGGCGGTAAAAACTCCCATGGCTTCAATTTGGGGTGTCGTACCAATTTTCGAGAGCTTATGGGCGATAAATGGTACCTCTGGCCTTTTCCGATCTTCTCCAGTCGCGGCGATGGACTATCTTTTCCATTGGCCGTGGAACGACTGAAGGAGGTTAGTACTGATAACCAGAGGAAAGATGATGGCCCGACCAGAGCCCAGATTGTCAAAGGAAACGTAACCAGGATTCTGGGAATTCATCATACATCTTTCGACCTTGAATAACTAATATGATTCACTGCTATTAAGACTGCAAAAATGTCAACCTATTATTTACAATTCCTTATTCTTTCCTTAATGGTTTTAACAATGCCCCAGTATTTAAATACAAAAAAAACTTCAAAATACTAGCAACCTTTTTAAGAAGAAATTGTTCTTGAAATCAATAAATACATAAGTATATTGAAAGGGGAAATATTGTTAAGGTATTTTCGTATTGTGGTAGGTGGCATTTCAGTTTTCCTTGTTATAACTGCTAACATATTTTTGCGAGCCCCAGTAATCCAAACACAAAAACTCGGCGGAAACTCTTCAGATTCCAGTTCCCCACAACGATGGAAATTCGCAGACAATTTGAGGGGGAGCGACTCCATCAACATCTTAATTTACGAGTCATTGGCGAGTGCATCAGCATCGAACTCCCATCGCTTGACAATTGCAGTCCGCTGGCCATTTTCCCGACCCGCTGAGTGGCCAACATCGATAAATCCTCGGCATTCCGTTCCTGGTCCTGGTCCTCCACTTCCCACAACACAATCGCTCCGAAGTCGTTTATAAAACGCTTAACATTCGTGACATATTTCGCATTTGGCCGCGCGTCGGGCGCAGAAATTTATAGACTTTATCCATTAGGAAAACAATTACGAGTGCAAACAATGGCCAATGTGCGATGTCCACCGGATGGACTCGGACTCCCCGGCCAGAGGCGATTCCTTTGGAGCACCGAGCATATGTTGGGATTGCCGGGCGGCCCCAAGTTCATTGTCCCCGTCTATATTTTCTTATTATGCTGTGGCGACTTCTTGACTGCTGCAACACAAATCCAATTACCTTCAAAATAATAAACTTATGTACATACCAAAAAGGAAGAATGCCATCCCGAGGAGTCCTTCCATTTCCCCGGCTGCCGTACGCACATTTTGCTTTATCAACTGTTGATAGACTCCGTGGGGAATTTTCCGTATGTCACGACAAAGAAGACGCTGGGAATGGGGATGGGGATGGGAATGGAAATGGAAATGGGAGCTGTCTGCCGTCGGGCGGCATTTTTTCCAGCTCCTGTGCTGTGAAGTCCGGACTCCTCTTCCCGCCCCCAAAGGCACTGAGCGAAAACGGGGGCCTTAAGTCAATAAGTATGTTCATATCGCAAAGATATACCTTAATAGAAACTACTTTAATGTATCCATTGTATTATTTCTTCAAAGAATAATTGGAATTCCTTAGATAAAAACAAGGAAGAACGCTATAGTCGAGTACCTCGACTATAAGATACCCGTTACTCAGCTATATGGAGATATGCAAGCAGCAAAGCGAGATTAAAATGCGCCACCTACCGGCGGTATACAGATTTAAGCGTTATGGGCGTTAGAGTGGGCGTGGCAAATTTTTTTTTGGATCAATCGATAGGTATTGACGAGATCAATACATTTCAGTTAAAATTTTTTATCTAGCATGAAAATTGTGGGCGTCACAGGTTTTCGCGGTTTGTGGGCGTTAATGTGGGCGTGGCAAACTTTTTTTTGGGTCAATCGATAGGTATTGATGAGAACAATACATTTCAGTTAAAATTTTTATTCTAGCATCCAAACTGTAGGAGCCACAGTTTTGGGCGGTTTGTGGGCGTTAGAGTGGGCGTGGCAGTCTACTGAAACAAACTTGCGCTGCGTAAGAAGCTCAGGAATCTGTACGCCAAATCTCAATAGCCTAGCTCTCATAGTTTCCGAGATCTCAGCGTTCATCCGGACAGACAGACGGACAGACGGACAGACGGACAGACGGACAGACGGACATGGCTAGATCGACTCGGCTAGTGATCCTGATCAAGAATATATATACTTTATGGGGTCGGAAACGCTTCCTTCTGCCTGTTACATACTTTCCGACGAATCTAGTATACCCTTTTACTCTACGAGTAACGGGTATAATAACAATACTTAAAATAATCATAATGATACGATTTTCGATGTAACTATCTATATTGATCTTGAGACTGGACGACTTCAGTAATTTATTTCTTATTGATCATCCTGAAAATACATCTATCATTCAGTTTCCTTTGAAATTTTAAATATTCACTAAGTTACTTGGTATTTTTTACAATTGATCAGCATAACACTTACCTCTAGTGTTTAGCTCCTGTTTCCAAAGCATATTATTTCCTCAGAATCCACTGTAATGTTTTCCCAGTGCATGGACCGTAGCTTGCTGATTTCCGCAGCTTGTTTGCTGCTCATTATTCGCCTTTGGCTGGTCCGGAGACGTGGTGTAGTTGGTCGCCAAATGCACGAGCGCAAATAATTTTTGCCACTTGCATGTCATCAGCATAAAGTGAGTGCAAAATATGTGAACTCGCCTTGGCAGCGGAAATTCGCCTTAGAGCGCAGAGTCAACAGCAATTGGCCAAATGACTTGTAAGGGTCCTCCGAAGGGGCAGGCTGAGGGGACCGGGGAGGTCCTGCCCAGCCACATGTCCATGTGGCAGTCCCCTTCGCCACCAGCCAACTCGGCAACCAGCTTATTGAATTCGCATATTTTCCCATTTTGCATTATGGGCAAACATTTTTTCCATTTCGTCGTCCTTTGTTTTTGTCCTCTGTTTGATTTTGTAATCGAGGATTTGTTTGCCTTGGCTGAAGCCAATCGATTGCCGGGAAGGGGAATCACTTTTTGCCCTGCTCATTGAGTGTTTCAGCAATTTTTGGTAAGTCAAATTGGTCTAGTCGTCGGTTTGACCTTTTCACTGTCAGACTTTCGCAAAAGGGGAGAGAATCCATTGGAATGCCAGTGTTGGCCAGAACATGTGTTTGGCCTTGAGCGGTTTGTTTAGGCCTTTATGGGTGGCTTGCTGGGCTGCATGGTTGGAGTTGAAGAGGGTTGGATGACGGGAGGAACTGGGGGGATGGTTATCGCCAATAGAAAAAAACATTTAAATGACGACTTTGACATTGCAAATCGAACTTGGCCGATGGGAACCTGTTGATAGGGATATTGAACTTAAAAATTACTGGATGCTAAAATAAATTTAAGTTAGTTCTGACTAAGTTGTATTTGTAATAAAATTATTTAAACGGTGGAAAATGTTTTGAGCTCTCTAAAAAAATAAAGAATTAAAGAGCCGCACTTCCTAAATTCACCCCTGAGGTTTCCCTAAATGAAATATAATCTTTAAGGTTGATATATTTAAGTATCAGTATTAAATTCAATGGATGGTATTTATTCCTGTTCTCTAAACTTTGATTTCCACCAAAGTAAATACAAGACAACAAACATGGGTTCAGTTACAACTTCTCATACTTTTTACTCTCCAAGTGAATTTCTGAGGATGGTACTATTCAGCAATTACACTCGAGTCAACAAATTAACAATAACGATTGGCTTCCAGGACTTAGTTGCGGTGACGGAAGACGCGACGACGGACGGTCTTGTAGCGGTATCCGTCCTGGGCGGGCTGCTCGATCTCCTCGATGATGGGCTCCTCGGCCTGGACGGGGGCGGGTGGGATGTACTCGGGTGCCGGAGGTGCGGGGGGAATGTAGGTCTCAATGGGGGCGTGTGCGGGGGCTGGTGGTGCAGGGGGGATGTAGGTCTCCACGGGGGCAGGAGCGGGCTGCTGGTACTCGTAGCCACCCAGCTCCGAAACATCGGCGAAGGCGCAGGCCAAGAAGGCAACGGCAATGATCAGGAATTTCTAAGGGATTGAAGAAAGGTATTATATTAGTATGGGGATAAAAATATGGCCAAATGAACCTGTTGAAAAAAATCATCTAGCATCATCTTACACTTTATACTTATATGTTTTTGGTATGCCAAGTCATGACTTTAACCCACTAACATTATATAACATTTCTCAGCTTTGTATTTATTATGTATTTTATAAGTAGAACATGAGCAGCCTAAAAGTGCTGAAAACATTTTTTTTTAAGTCAGGGAATTTTAGTAAAATATCCTTTAAGCAAAAATAAACCTCTTTTGGTATTGAACACTATAATTACGAGCTAAAAAATGTTTGAAAGTATTTATTCTTGAGTCACATGACTATATCCTGACCAAAACTCGACGTGTTCTGGTTTAACATGCATGACCGATTTTTAAGTTCACTATGCCAAGATTAAGTATCGGAATCACCATGGTTTCAAGTGTTTAGACTGCGCTCGACAAAAGATGTGTGCTGCGGATGCCAGATCATCTTACGGCTTTTATATGGCCAAAACTCTGTGGGCCACTCATGCCGACGGCAACGGAAGCAACATGGGACCCAAATGACTTTGAACTTGATCTGTGGCTGATCTTCAATCGCTCACCACAGACTTGATCGATTAATCCGGCCGAATCGAACCGGTTGGCCGGCACTTTTGGATGCACAGGCCATCAATCGATTGAAAAACTATGATCACGTTTCGTGTTCACTTTTGTTTGCCTAATGCATCGCCCGTCCCATTGTCTCAAAGTGGACAAATGGTGACTTCGTTAGAGGTCGAACTCGAATCGAGTCTTGACTTGACTTTTGGCTTTTGTTTGGCGCTCGAGGCGCAGCCCTTTAATTGATTTGCTTGTTGAACTCGGCCTTGGGTTTCGACCCACGCACGGAAAATACACGAGTCTCTCACCCTGGCTTCGCTTGATTAAAACCAAATTTAATTTGCATCTCAGTTTGCTGGTTTATTTGGTTTGGTTGTTATTACTGGGCTGGCGTTTATTGCTGGACCTAACCCCAATTACAAAACTCGAAAGGGAACTGCAGTTGCGAAGTTTAAGTGGTGGGCAAATGTTCTGTGAAAAGAAATCAGGATGGCACAGTGGGAGGATTCGGTGAACTTAGAGGTGCATTACATAAATTTAATTTAAATATCATTTTAAGCAAACATTTTATATGTGTTTGACCAGATCTGTAAATGATATAAAAACTATTTTTCCAAAAATACTTTTACACTATTCTTTTTTGTGTGTGATGTACTGCATTTTTTTTCTCTTTAATGACAAAAAAATAGTTTTATTATAATAACAGTTATTTAATACATTTATAATTTCTATGATATCCATTGCTGTTCAATGTTGTTCATTTTCCCCAACCAATTCCACCTTGATTTTCCCGCCTCCCTTGCCATATTTTCATTTCAATTTTCATTCTCTGGCCGCATTTTCATTTCTCCGTTTCGCTCTCCACCGATGTCTGCCTTGTAACTTTTGTAGCTCTTGATAATATTGCAAATAATTTTCTTTTTTATGTTGATTATTTTTTGGACACCCTGCACAGACACCTGAGATTCACCTGGCGTGGCCCACACCTCCCTTTACAACCTTTTTTATTAACTTCGTTTTCATTTGTGCCGTTGCCTTCACGAGCTCATCATATTTTAATGTGGAAGGGATTCGGCGGCATCGTCTTTTGGCTTTTCCAACAATCCAGCTCCCCAGCTCCTCGGGCTGTTCTATGTTTCAAATTATTCTCGAGAGATTTGCAGTTCGTGATTTTACGGCAGGCAAAGAGCAGGGACGGGGGTATTCGCCCCCAGGATTCAAAACGGGGTTTCCATCCCCGCAGCCGCTGTGAGCTAAGACATTTCCCGAATGCAATTGCAGCTTTGGCTTTTAATTACCCCGCTTAAGTCCGTATTAACTCTGGCCTAAGCCTTTTTTAATTTGCCCCCTCCTCGCCGGCAGCTGTCGTAATTGAATTAGGAGCCAGGAGACAATGCAGCGTCGCTGAACCTTTCACGCTGTTATCCTTGATAATTAATTTAGACGCCATTGTCCAGCGGACTCCCCTGTTCTTCGGGCGGCAACCCCCGGCAAATCCTTTGCCTTTGCCATTTCACATCACGTGCGACGCTCCACTCGTCCTGTGCTGTTTCTTTTTTCATAAATCGCCAGGACACACACTGCTGGACAAGCTGGGGACGGAAAAAATTGGGGGGAGAAGGAACTCCCCAAAAAAAGATAGAGGAAGAAGTTCCCAGTTTTATGGCGAAAAAATGAAGCGGCAGTTTTGACAACGCACGTCCATCCTAGAAGAAAGAAAGTGTTCACTGCAAAAAATTGAAGGCTATGGGTCATCTAAAATATGTATTTTTTATTTTTATAGGTAGCAAGCTCTGAACTGAATTCTAATAAGAAAAATATCAACCCATTAATTGCCCAAAACATTTATAATACTTTTTAAGGCTGAAACTTTATCAAAACATTATTTCATATATGATACAAGGGGTCATAAAAGGGTCATTTATCGCATTAGATGTTTTCAAATTTTATTTCAGTATAATTTTTGCACTTTTTTAAATTTATTGTATAAAACAAATATAATTATTACAAAAACAAAATAACCAAAAAAAGAAAGTAAGCTTAAATTAAAAAAAATTTTTACCAAGAATCTGATTATTACTAAGAGGTATCGTCACTTTTTGGCCAAGTGTTGGAGACTGGCTGGGGTCATGTGGCTTGCATATGGAGCTACAATAGACAGGTACAAGATGCACACGTAGCACGCATTGCCAGAGTCCCAAGAAACGAAATATGGAATCACCTTTTGTAAGTTCGGGGCCATGAAATCGAGTTTACATCTTGCTCCTCCGTTGGCAGCGGCCATAATTAAATGTCAAAAATGACGCTACGTGCTGAGCAAGCAAATCGGCTGACGAGTGCCGGGCCAAAGTTCACAAAAAACGGTACTTGCCATGTCAAATGGCATTAGAGTTTATGCAACTTTATCCGAAAAATAAACTTATTTTAAGCAATAGAACCGTAAAGTTCTCAACGCAAAAATTGTTGCATACTTTTGCCTGTCACTACTAATTGCCCGGGAGTTCGAACTGCGAGACATGAGGACCCGAGTTCAATTCCACTCCGAGTACTCACTTTTTGTAAATGAATTCTTTTCGTACCCTTTTTTTAATAAGAGTTTTCTACCCCAGCCCCAAAACTTGTTGGCAACTTCCCTGATATCAATTTATAATTTCTATTATCAAGAATAGCCATTTGTAATCGCTTAATTTAGTGCCACAAACTTTTACACAAAACGGAATACAAAATAAGCAAAGCCCTGCTAAAAAAGGAATTGCCCCAAAAGTAATTTAACATTGGCGCAGTTTCCCCCTCGCATCCGCCACATTTGCAAAACTCTCGAAAAGTAGCTGGAACTATTTAAAGTTTCTTTTTGCTGCTTTTCCCTCAATGTGTATCGTACTTTTTATTGCCATTCGCTATTATTTGTTGCCCCTCTGTCGTTGCATATGCATATTATGCCCCCGAGGCATAGGAAAACACTTCCCCACCATCTCTCTCTTTTGCTGGCGAAAGCCAGACAACAGCAACGACTCTGCGATGGTTATGAAAAAGTACTTAACGTGCACAAAACTTATGTGCCAAGAGATTTTATTTTTTCCTCATAGTCGGGTAAAGTTACAACGACATGCCAATTTTTCAAAGGACCAGGGGGGCCATAGGTACTCCAAGGGAACGCAGGGTGGTCTTGGCAAGCTTATAAAATATTGCCAATAATACGTTGTTAGCGGAGACTTGCCTCCCCAAACGCAGAACGCATTTCTCCCGGCGGCCAAACTTTTAATGCACTTCCCCAAATGCACAAACAGAATTGCAGAACTCTATTTAAAGGAGGGTCGAGCATCCTCCCCACTCCCTATTTAATTTGTCAAATATAAGTGATACATTTTGAACAAATAAACTGCTGTAATAATTGTCAAGATATGTGGCTCATTGCCTAACGTACAATTATGTTCAAAGGACCATTAAAGAAAATTAAACGTAAATTACATACGACAGGAAAACCAGACATTGTAAGAATTAAAAAGTTCTCAGTTTATACTAAGATTTTGTTAAAGCAATACCATTTTACTTATACTACTCGCCATGTACATACATACAATTCGAATTGAGAAGTCAAATCATATTAATGAACACCCAAAACATTCCATTAGCCCAATGTTCTACCATCTGAGGGCAAAACTTTTAACTCAGCTAGTTTCCTATTTAAAGTTTTATTCAAATTGATTCACCCTATGGATTCACTCTATCCGTATCCGATTCTACCTAGCGATCATCTCTTTGCATCTAGAATTACGTATAGTACTTTCCTTAATTTTGTCGATAATTTTCACAAGCATTCAGAAAACTATCCTTAAGATACTTTTCAAGAAGTACGCTTCAACCTGTACACTAAGAGAAGTCCTTAATAGTTTTTATTGTTTAAATTAATTAGTATAAAAGGGGCACCACTCAGAATTCGCTCTATCCGTTGTTACCGAGCGATCATCGAAGCCCTGCGTCCCGAACGATGCGGAGCACCACAAAGAACGCTGGGCAAATCCTCACGCTGCCGAATAGAACGATTCAACTCATCAACGCGGGTGCACTTGGCTTTCAGCTAGTGTGAAAGTATGTGAAGACTGACTACAGAAATGATCCTGTGAAGTATAGTCTTAACTGTTCGCTGTCCAACCTGTGGATCTAGGTGCGCGGCGGGCCAGAACTAGTTGGGAATTATTTCAGTGTGCGCAGGGGAAAAAACGAACAACACGCGAGGCGATAAGCAAACACTTTGTGAGTGACGGCGACGGCGTTTTTCGAGGGTGGAATAGGCTCTAATTTTGATGTTTCCCGAGTTTCTTGCTTGGAAACTATTGGCATAGATCGGAAAATAAAACTAGACACGAAAAAAGAAAATAAAAAAAGACTTGGCAGCGGTGGGATTCGAACCCACGCCTCCGAGGAGACTGGTGCCTTAAACCAGCGCCTTAGACCGCTCGGCCACGCTACCTTGCGGCACGGCATGTCAAATGCCCATAAAGAACCAGAGCAGGATAGCAAGCGTGGCGTTCTAACAATTCTGACACATGAGTATCTATATCTACGTATCTGTATCTCAAACTCTGCGTTTCGTGTGGCACTATTTTTATGGGCGCAACACCTTGTCTTTATTTTTCCACCCACACTGCGACGCATATAAATGCTCTCATTTGGGAAAAGGGAAAATGTCCATCAAACGAAATCAATTTCTGGCGAAAGCCTTCCTCCTTCGCCGTTCTGCAGCATTAAAATGTTTATTATATGTATTTTGCAAAACTGTCAGCGTTTTTTCCCGGCAGCGTCAGCTTAGAAATGCG